GACTTAGCCGTCAATTTGTATGCATATGTCAGTGTACATACATACAAGCATATATACAGTTAAAATCTAACTCGAACTGCCAACTGGATTATAATAAAACAAAAATAACCAAGTGAAGGTTGTAAATTTACGCGCTGACTGTGTGAAACGTGTTTGCGGCTCTCCAAAAGCAATAATAAAAACAAACAGATAATTATCTAGTTATAAAAAAGGTGATTTACCTCAATAAAAAAACATGAATATTTATTGAAAGAAAAAAAAAATAATTGTATGACTGCGAAATACTGTTTAACTGATATATAAACACATGTGTTAATCGACACACGGCACGAGCAACTGTTTTCGATTTAATTATTTACAAACTTTTTAAGGAAACTATCCAAAAGGCAGCTTTATGCATAGTTTGGAAACGAAGTGTGAAGTAACCCATTCGAATTATGAACTGAAAATTAATTATTAGTGACAAACTTGAAGGGTTAATTAATTTCTATAGTTTGTCATGCTTCACAGATTTTAATCTGGGAAGGTTGACATTTATGAGGGCGAAATTCGTGTGAAATCTGATTACGCTATCTTTAGCTAAATGGAAACCCCAAATTCATATTAACCCCTCAAAAATTACATTCCCCATAAAGTATATATAGTCTTGAACGGAACGACTAAGCTGGATGGATTGAACTCAGGTCGTCTGATAGCCCATCCATTACTCCAACACAGATACACTCAAAAGGAAAAAACAATATACTCATTAAACTGTTGTCAACAAAATTAATTGATCATTTGAATAAAATGGGTGGTTCACATTCAGGCCAGGAAAAGCTTATAATTCATGTGAAATCTAATTACACTATACTTAACTAAGTTCAAACTTATTTTATAACAAGATCATCTTTACGAAACTAAACACCATCATAGTCAAGTTTATTCGTTCATCCTACTTTCCATCATCATCTTTAAGAGTTCTAAAACTCTTTCGGATTTCAATTTTTAGATTGCACTTGTGATGGTAATTGAGTCTAAATTGTCAGCTGTTACTTTACTTAATAATTAACTAAGGCATATTGCAATTAGATTCCGAAACTGTGAGTTTGCTGCCTGTAGCTGAGTGTGTTTCGTGTATTTATGCATGCAGAGATATATACATTTAGCTTAGTATACCTAAGCACCTTCAGCTGTTAACAGCTTTTTCCACCCAGCAAAATTTAAGTTACTGTAAAATCAACTTTTTAAACTATTTCGAAAATTACGGAGCCAGAAGAAAACAAACTAAGGACTTAATCTAGCAACATATATTTCAATTTTTTATAGCCCATTGAAAATCAGAGATCAAGGTCCTAATTATTTTTATTTAAACGTTATATCGGTCTTAATTCAAGGTATCTCCTAATCAGGAACAACCAACTAGAGATTTTTTTGTTTTGATAAACAATTCTGACTAAGCTGATATACATATGTTCATTCTGATTAATAGCAATGTTAACAAGAAATTTATGGTATCAATTGTTGATTTCATTCTGATTTGCGATATGTTAGAAATAAAGGGAAACATTTACGATCTTAGGCCGAAAGCGAGCAGATTTGATAGAGGTTTCAGTGTTACAAGTGTGGTCAAGTGCACACACTTTAATCAAAAGTTCGTTCCACGTGTTGCCGTTTATGGCGACCCCCAGTTATCGCCAAAATATTGTGGTATATTCAGTGGACTTAGGTGAATTGTTACTAATCGTAATTTCCTACATCGATAGCAGATTAGGAATATATACTATATAAAGAATGCTCTAAGTAATATGGCACGCTCTTCAAACTTAATGCTATCAAAAGCAATTTTATATAATTCTAGATGGGCGATAAAGACTCAATGGGCGTCACCAACAATGCGTATGAATTGGATCATGTGTGTATATAATCTACAGCAGTGAAATATAAATAAAAGACTTACCTTTATTTTTTTCTCCAATAGACTGACCTACGAAGATCAAATCCAGAATTTAATAATAAGGTAAGCAATCGCTCCTTAATTACTTCATATATATATGTGTACGCATTTTTGTTGCAGACTGATTATCAAGTTGACTATAGCCATGATCACGACCTCAGTGTTGACCGGAGAGAAACGCAAGAGAATAGTGAAATTAATAAATGGATCAAAAGAGGACTTCATTTAATTCTACAGATTGCCATCGTTGGCTATTTCGTATATGCCACATATCATTATCATGATATAAGTAAGTTGAAAGCCTTAATCTAAAACAGTCGGCTGCTGTCGACTGTAAACTACTCATTCTTAGGCCCAAAATCAGAGATATTCGATATTTTCGTAACGCTACTCCCCCAAGGGAGACGTTAGATTGTAAATATGTTAGAGTTTAAATATACCTTTCTAGCTCTGCCGTTACTCATATTTGTAAACGGAAATAAATTAGCTGAAAGATTAGATCGGATATCTACTTATGCATATATCACTAACTATAGATAAAACCCGAGTATATACAAAAGTATGTTCTAGGTAATTCATCTGTCTTGATTACTCATGCTGCATACATATATATATACATATACATATATATAACAATTTTAATCGAGATACTCTACCTTTATACAGATGAATATGATTGCAAATATGATAGCTCAATACCGTTATGTGGCATACGCTTTTGCACCGGCTATGGCATGCTAGTACTATTATTGGGCTTCATATACCTGGCACTGTTTTACTATCTGATATTCAAGCCGAAACTCGGATTGTTTTTGCACAAGAACTACCTGCATCCAGCAGCTGTCAAATGGCATATTTTCCTAAGAAAGCGGTGAGCCGTCTTCAAATAATCATTTGATAACTGATATCAGTAATATAAATGCCATAACCCATTGTGATATCTCTCGTCATAAACAGCGCCGTTTCCATTGCGTGCATTGTACTGCTGCTCGCGCTGCTGGTCATATATTTGGTGTTCGAGACAAAGGACGAGCCAAAGAAGCTGTACTCCTTGGTGGCACCCTGCTTCTTCATCCTCTGCGGCTATGTCTTCTCCACGAAACGCAGCGCCATCAAGTGGCGCATTGTCATCACGGGCATCACGTGCCAGTTTCTGTTGGGCATCATCTGCATTCGCTGGGAGGTGGGCCGGAAGATCTTTGAGTGTCTGGGCAATAAGGTGGCCACGTTTCTGGGCTATGCCACAGATGGTGCACGCTTTGTGTTTGGCGATTACCTCATCGCAGAAGAGGTGTTCGCCTTCGCCATACTGCCGGTGATATTCTTCTTCAGCTTCTTCATATCGGTGCTCTACTACTTGGGCGCCATGCAATGGGTGGTCATTAAGCTTGGCTGGATACTCCAGCAAATATTGGGCACGACTGTGTGCGAAAGCGTGACAGCTGCAGCCAACATCTTTCTGGGCATGTCCGAGAGTCCGCTCCTGATCCGGCCCTACATTCAAAAGCTGACCAAGAGCGAGATCCACAGCATTATGGTATCGGGCTTTGCCACAGTCTCGGGGACTGTGCTGGCTGCATATTTATCCTTTGGCGCATCTGCCGCACATCTGATCACATCCTCGGTCATGGCAGCGCCAGCCACATTGGCCATCTCCAAGCTGTATATGCCCGAAACGGAAGTGAGCCAAACGTCTAGCGATACCATCGAGCTGGAGAAATCGTAGGTTCATTCGTTCATATTTACGATCTCTGATTAACCTCTTCTTCTTCTTATGCAGCGAGGATGCCTCCTTGCTGGATGCCGCTTCCAGTGGCGCCTCCAATGCCGTGCCCATTGTTCTGGGCATCATTGCAAACATTGTGGCCTTTGTTGCGTTCGTTGCCTTCCTGAACGGTCTGGTCAGTTGGCTGGGCATGCTCATTGGACACGAAGAGGTGGACTTTGAGTGGATATTCTCCAAGATCTTCATGCCGCTCGCATGGGCCATGGGCGTGCCCTGGGCCGATTGCGATAAAATAGCCAAAGTGGTGGCCACCAAGACCATTATCAACGAATTTGTCGCCTACGAGCGTCTAGGTGCGCTAATCGATAATGGCGAAATTAAAGTGAGTAAACTTAGCATAAATATTAACTATGATCCCTGATTAATATCCTTGTGCAGGCTCGCAGCGCTGGCATCGCTACCTTTGCCATCTGTGGCTTTGCCAATCCCAGCTCTCTGGGCATTCTCATTGGCTCGTTGAGTGCAATGGCACCAAATCGTCGTGGTATGATCACATCCGTGGCTTTTCGTGCATTCATCGTGGGCAGCATTGTGTGCTTCATATCAGCCAGTTTTGCAGGTGAGAATACACAGAATACAATCTACTTTAAATTGATCTCAATACTAACTGCTCTCACTGCTTTACAGGCATCTTGTTGCAGGAGGAGGAGCAGCAGGTGGTTTACGATAAAATATTTGCAAAATTGGCACATAGAAATGCCACGTATTAGCATTAGTTATGTATATACTTAAATAATTTATTTCACTAGATTTTGCTCCAGTGGCACTAGTTCAATTATGTTTCTATTTTTACCTGAATAGTTCCAATTTGAAATAAAAGATATAACTCAATTATTATATATATATAAAAAAAAACAACATTTAATTCTGATTTTCAATTCCATTCCATTTGCAAAACAATTCGAAACCTTTTCAAAAGTCTGACTGATCGGGATTTCTATTTGAAGTCAAGTCAAGGGATCTATCGGACATACCGCAGCATTATATACATTTCTGTATATAGACAATATATATTCAAGCGGCTATATTGAGGGGTATTATCAAATTGACTTTAAAAGTTAGAAAATTAAAAATTTGCTTTGGTATAATATCTAGATTTAAAGACTCTCATTTCATAAATTTAGTTATTTGTCAAAATATCTTGTAAAGTTTTAACAACACTACCTAGCCTTCTTAGGTCGGTAGGATCTAATGCAGCGGAGCTTAACTGTTGTGCATGCAGCTCAAGCTGTCCTAAAAGATTCTTTGAATCACATTCAGAACGTTTACGTTTACCGCTTAACTCTGTGCAAAGATGAGGTTGTTGCCTGTTATATGCCAGGCTGTTGTAATTAAATTTCGGACGGTCTGTGTTGGGTTTAGGACGCGAGCATGTTGGCTGTATCACTTCAAAAAGTGGTAACAACTTTGGGGAAGGTACATGCACTTCTATCAGAGAAATAATCTTCGGATTTTCGCTTTTGAGGCACGAATGCAGAAAGCGTTGCCCGTACCAACATCTAATGGCAACAGATTGTGCCTTAGTTAGTGTTTCTAGGATGAGGAGTCTTGAATCTGAATCGGCATTAAGCGCCACTTTAAAAAACACGTTATTCAAGCGTTCATAGGTGCCTTTAACTAGTAGCTCCTTTAAGCCACTTGGCAATTCGAGCAACCAAGATTTTGACTTGGTCGACACCAACGATGTTAAAGCCAGCTGTAGAGAAAAGTTATAAGCTTAGAATTATTTAATTGGAATTGTGATACTTACAATTTCGTAATACTGTTCAATATCATTCAGTGGACTCTGAAGCATACGTTGCAGTCTCATCATCCACAAATTCTGTTTGTCAGTTCTGTTAGCGAATACACAGCTAATATAGCGATAGTTTTGTAAATTAACTACAGGTGGTTCATGTACTTTTTTAAAATTATAAAAATATTTAACCATGCGTTCTACGTGCAATTGGCTTGGATTCTGCGAGAAGACGGCATAAGAATTATGGCACTTGATCCAATATTTGATGACATCTGTTAAAACATTTTCATTCCAGCCGCATTGCTGCTCTTCCAGACTGTAAATACAAATAAATTTAATTACAAGTACAATTATTAAGATATGTATATGCATTTAGATGTCTAACCGGTAACTCAGCATAAGCACATCTGCGGACATTTGTGACCTTATGATATCATCTGCAAACACTCCATAGCAAAAGTAATTTGATAATTCCGCAGAGCACGTTACATGAACGAGACTGGCAAAGACTTCCAGAATATTTTTATAACGCGCCGCATTACAAAAATTACCAGCATCTATAATTGACTATGAATTAGTATTATTTTTGAAGAATGTATTTTAATTATCTTACCTTTGCAAAAATATTCAAAAATCGTATATAAAGTTTGATAGGTAAGCTCCTTGAGCTCCGTATCATCTATAATGCAAGCATTTACATATTCCAAGCATATATCATCATAAGCTATATTTGCATTAGTCGACTCAATAAGACAAGCGATCAGATACTATAAAAATAGCATGAATAAGAAAAATAGTTTCTAGTTGAAGACCGAGTTTACCTTTTGGAAATCTTCATGCTGATAGAGAAGCTTATAAAGTTCCTTAATATATGGATACATAGAGTTTATATCGTGATTTGAGTTACTGCAAAAGAATACACTTCAAGTTTAAGTCAGCTATATTTTATATAGTCATATATATCTTACTTTTCACCTCCACTCAGTAGCAAGAAAAGGCCTTCCAAAACATTTGAATCCATATGTTTAGCTCCAGTGCTTAATAATTTAGACATCAGAGTTAGATAAAAATGAACAACTTCCATATATACTTCAGAAACTGAGCCGCTCTGTTAACAGATTTTAGATTAATAGAGTTACGGTACATAGATTAATGAATGGAACCTAACCTGATCATTAGCTTTTTCAAGATGATTCAGCGCTGTATCGCAGAGATGCACCAACGTGCTCTGCATCCACTCAGGCATGGCTTTCAATTCACCCTGGCTGGCCTCCATACTATTATAGTGAGCGCATATAGCCGTTATAATCTGGCTGGTCTGGACTAAAACCTTTAAATGCTTAGGATTAAGACTAAGGTAGTCTGCAATTTCAATCATGTGGCGTAATACTGTGAAAGTTAATAATGTTGCATTATTCATATATATGGATATTACATTATAAACTAAACATACGTGGCGTAATGCGTGGATGGACTCGAGTGGATGCGGTTGTAATCTTTCCCAGCATATTTAATACATTAACATGTAGTTCTATAGCCTTAGATTCATGCTCCTTAAGTGCCTCTACATGGTACTCATTGCTGCAAGCAGTTACATATATTTATCAATTTATATTTATATTTATTATTATGTATCCCACCACACTTCAAGGCATCTATAGACGATTGACATGAGAAGAAATACTGTTACGTGCATGAAGCGTTCGTCAGTTGTTGGCAAATTTTCCCTTGCCCACACAGCAAAGTCCACGGCATCAGTTAATAGTAAAATAAAATCAGAGCAGGCCCCTTTATTCTCAGGGGTCACATCATCCTTCTATAAAATAAATAATCAAGATCAGGCGTAGCTTAACCAAATATCAAATAACACTTACCAAACACATCAGCCACTCATACAAACACTTAAAAATCTCTATATTAGATTCCTTATATAGTTCCTTTATATAGCCTCTGAGTAGTTTTCTTAACCATAATCTTAGTACTTCCACAGTTTTTGTGCTCAGATCTGCGACACTTTTCTCGCATATTGTCAATGCTGATTTTACTGAAACGCACGTTGACAAACCCTCGATGTCAAGGCATTTCAGCTCATCAAATGTTATGTAGACTTCCGAGTCCTCTTTTGTGCCCGTGTTCATTTTCAATTATAAATTTTATTATTAAAAATTTGCACTGCATACAAAATTTTGCAAATGGGCGCGAGTGTCAAGTGAATCGACAGATGAAATTTATCAAATGGCTGTCATCGGTAATTGCCATTCGGTAAATATGTAAACATCGATTCGCTCAAAACGGCGCTACATTAAGTTGGCTGTGAGTGCTATAAATATATCGACGAGCCACCACTCTGTGTTCGGCTCTTTTAAAATTGTTGCCTACGGTCACATAACAGCAGCCATTTCTTTTCCTCAACACAACTGCTAGAAGAAAGTCAAGTTTTGCAAGCGCTCCTAAAAATTAAAATACTCTGAAATGGTAAGTTAAATTATTAATTTTGTTTAACAAAACACGTGCCCGTTTTGAATATGATGTTTATATATACCGCCCCAGTCTGAAAAGACGTGTTGATTGGTTTTCAATGCTGATAAAAATTATGCACGTGTTTTGTGCTTTCTTAAATTGTAATTTTTGTAAATTGTAAATTAACTAAGTTAAATCATTGTAGATTGTCTACGAGGTAAATAGCCTGGCAATGGCGGCTACTTGGAAAATGGATGCAAAAAATGAATTCAATTTCGCTGAAATTACATGAAAAACCTACCACACGTGTTGCCGGCATGAGTTAGGTTAGTTTCTCCAAAAATAACTAAACATATTATTTTAAGATGAATAATAATACCGCCCCAGTCGGAATTATAATGAAGATTGGATTTCGTTACTGATATATCTAAAGAAATATCAATGTATGCATACAGTTGACTGTGCTGATAATGTGTATATAATTTTCAGAACTTAATTTCCACGTGTTGATACCTTGGCTTGTTTTCGATGTTTTCCGCATGGTAAGCTAAAATTTTTTGTAAAATTTAATTTATTAGAAACAGTATGATGAACAACCTATTTTAACAGTTATCCCTGTCATAAAAAAATAATTGATGATACGTTAAGCTGAGAAAAATTAAACAAATTACAATTTTAATTTTTTTAAGCTAATATAACTAATGCCGAATTTTGTATAATTTTAGATGTTTTACCAAATGTGCAGAAAAATGAATTTCATCCAATTCTTAACAGGTATGTTTATTTAATTAACTTATATATAGGATAGTCTAAAAAAGCAAGAGCACTAAGAAATATATGTATATGTAATTATTTAAGTTAAATGGTTACCATGATGTTCTTTATACCGCCCCAGTCGGAAAGATAATGTCGACTCGGTTTACACTGATATTACAACTCTAACAATATATATATCTAAAAAGAATATTATATTAAATAACGTTTCTTTATTGCAGATTGCACTGTCCGGAAGAAAATAATGAGAGAATACCATGAGATGGTACTATAATGAAGGTAGGCTTTGGCTAAATTTTAAATGTTTTTGATCTTAGGTGATGATATATAAAATGTAGACAAGCATATAACTGAATTAAATGTGTTGCTATAAACTCGACTGATTGTAATATACGATAATACATAATATTTTGTATAGTTTTGTACTAATTCATACATTTTTATTCTCTTATAGATCAAGCTGACGGAGAATCAACTCCATTTGGAGTATTTCTTGATTGACTCTAAGAGGTTAGTTGCTTGTATCCTGAATAGAAATTTGTATTGACTATGATGAACACTTTATTTAAGCCAAACAGTTATCCCTGTCATAAGAATAATTGATGATAAAATAAGCTGATAGAAATATAAAATCAAGCTTACTATCACTAGATATAAAATATGTCTTGATGAGAATTTCTTTTCTTTTACAGCTTGGCAGAGCTATCCAAAGAAGAGCCTTATTAAAAGGTAATTTTACAAAACATGAAAATCAGTTTGAATCAATTTTTATTTTCTTAATGATGTTTTACATACCGCCCCAGTCGGATTTAATAATGTCGATTGGTTTTTATTCGCTGATTAAAAATTTTTATATATTATTATTATGATTTTTTTTTAAATTTTAACTTATTAAAGCATTTTATTTATTTTTTGCAGAGCAACGTCTTTAGGCTGTTAATTGGGAATGCTACCAAAAGAAATATATATTAAGCAGGTAAGCTTTTTATCTAGTTTGTTTTGGCTTGTTGGAACTGAGCTGATGAACAAACTTCGACAAGCATATAACTGAATCTTTTATGTAGGCTATACAAGTCTGATATAAATAAATAAACAATAATTATATATTCTAAGCGCATCATAAACTAAACTATACCTTCTATTTATTACAGATCTGTTCCTGCGTCATAAAATAAGAATGGAATTCCTAAACATTTTTTGTAAAAACCAAACATCTTGAATAAAACTGCATAAAATGAATTTATTATAACGTGATATAATTTATTTTGCGTTTCATATTATAGACATTTACTTTGTTTTTGTATTTAGGGTTATTTGTAACGCTACAAATCTTTGTATTTGGGTTCCTGTTTATTAATATATATATGTATAAGAATAATTCTTTTTGTAAATGTTTTGAGTTCAATATGCTTTCTTTGTTTTTTGGTATTTGTAAATTTATACTCATACCCATGTATATGTATAACATATGATATATATGTTAATACCTTCTCAAGACCCTGCACAACAACCAAAAGTCAAATCAAAAATCGCATACATATATGCGATCGATATAGACTCGGAGAGAAGCACACACTGAAACATTGGATTGATACAAATATAGTTTCTTCCATATATTTATATAGAGGGATATAGAGTTATTGTTAGCGTTATAAAATTTGTAACTTTATGTGGAAAGACAACATTTATAAAGTTCTTTTTTCTCTTTGAATTAAATTTGCATGATTCATATTTGATTTGATGCTTTAACAAACGTAGAACTCCTACCACTAATTAATGAGTGCAATAAATATATGCCAATAAAAAAGTTTACATGAATGTATTTTAAATAATTCCAATTATAATTTGGCTGAAAGCGGTTCAGTCCTATCGAGCATAATATTCGAAATATATATTTAAAAAAAAAATGGAAATGGGAAAGAATATTCATTTTTTAATATCAATGACGATAGATAGAAAATGAATGAGGTTCAAAGAGTTAGACGAATACAATACACATATACATCTATAGATATCAATTCCGTGCGGAAGAAGTCTGTATGATATATGTATATGTTTAGATCTATAATATATTTATAAGCCATATAGGATGTGATGTGAATCGTTTCTTTCAGAACCAAATTGCTTGCAGCTTGTTTTTTTGTAATGTTTATTTATTTTTAATTTTTTTTTTTTTTGTTTTGTTTTTGATGCATTAGCGTATAGATGTTTTTCAAAAACAATAAGGAATCAACAATATTCATAAAATGTATCATTATAGAATATATGATAAATGTAAATCTAAAACTACGTGTTTATCTTCCTTTTTTTGTTGTTTTTATCTTTTCTTTTTTGTTGATAATTATAATTAATTTGTATGCTATATATATATAATTTGAAATAATATTTTCTTTGTTGTGTATGAAATAAATAATTTGTATGACTCTGAGTGTGTGTGTGTGTGTCGGTCTGTGTGGGTGTATGCAGCGCCATCTAGTGTCCGATGTGCTTCTTGATCAGCGCCTGCAGCAGACGCACCTTCGCCTTCTTCTCCTTGTACTGCGCATAGGTCTCCGTTTCGAGACTCTTTCGGTCCGGCTTCAGCATTTTGCGTCCATTCTGCTCCTCGAATATGGACTCGTATTCCCTAATGGTCGCCTTCAGCACCATCTTCTCGTTGCGCACACGTTCCAGCTGCTCCCACAGCTGGTCCACGCTGAGCGCCGCGATATTCTCCGCCTGTGCCGAGTCTGTGGCGGTTGTTGTGGTTGTTGTTGTCGTTGTGGTCGACTCATCGGAGGAAGCATTCTGTGTTTGGTTATTTGGCGCCATGGAGTCGCTGGGTGAGTTCGTCGTCTCAGTACTGTTATTCGATGAATACTGCAGCGGTGTCGATGTTGCCTCAAAGACCATAGCCTCATGCTCCAATATCGTGGGCAACTCATTCACGCCGGCACCACCGCCGAATATAATGTGACGGGAGACCAGACGCTTCAGCTGCCTATAACGATCGTAGAGTGGGCGTGCCGCATCTCGCTCTTCCTTGGTTATGGGATGGCCATAGAGACTCTCGAAGTACAGCAGGCCATGCTGGACGGCGCTCTTCTCCTGCACCAGCTGATCCGAGGTCAGCTCCTCCAGCTGCTGTGGCCGATGATTCTGCGTACGTTTCTCGCTGAGATTCTGCAAAGGAATTGAGGCTATTATTAGCTAACTGCTCAAAGGGCACCATAAACTGCGTCGCATTTGTCAAAAACACATCCATCACAAATTTCAAGTGCAAATTGCATTTTTTCCTTAGCAAATTTACAAAATGTCAAATGGGGCTGCCCATTGCGTATAATGCCCCAAAGGCAACCAAGTGGAATCCACTTGACAGTGAAATTGTCGTCTTCGTAAACAAGTCAATTATTATAAATGGAATTTGTGAAAGCAAATGCGTAAAAATAGCCTAGGAAAATCGGGAAAAGTGACAAATGCAGCCTATATAGCCGCCTCTATATGCATGATATTATCTACCCCTACAATATGAGTGCAACCTATATCCTATATGTGTCTAACATCTATATATATGTATGTATATGATATTATTTACCCCTACAATATATCTACATGTTATTTATGCCAATTTTTCTTCCACTTTTCGCTGTCGCTTTGGCAGCCTTTCAAGTTTATTTCTTGTTTTTGTTGTGGATATTTAACATAGACAAGAGGCCTGTCTGCATATCTATGGCTACATATAATCGTGCTTATATAAGAAACAAAAACAACAGTTTCTCAAAACAAATTGTTAAGCAAAATATAAATATAATACATATACATATACATTCACCTAAGATCACATGTTGACATTTAGCCGCTTATGAACAAAAAATATGGCTATGGGAAAACAGTCTTAAGAACTTTTACTTTATATACGACACCCATTTGTCATCTGGGACATTAGAGAAATGACAATGTTTTGAAAAGGCTTTTATTCAATTTGAGGTCGTGAAATTGAAGCCTCACGTGAAAACAGCTTTACTTAAGGCCCTCAAATGCAAACAACTGATAAGAAACAGCTCTGAAATGAAAGTACTTTATATGTGTATATGTATATGACAGATATGCAATTACTTCTATATCTATTATACGTGTATATATCAAATGCATGTCTTTAGGTCTCTGTAAAATTATATTTGCTTGCTAAGCGTAACTATAGTCCAATCAAATTCTATTTTTAGTGCATATAACAAGAGCTTAGGGACTTATCTGTCTGCCTGGCTCAAAGAATGGACGTAATAGTGGAAGCCTTAGAACTGAACAGGGAACAGAGAATGATTTAACCTAGGTGTGCCCTAAAAGTAATGCTCTTATAGTGAGTAGCCGCATCTATCTTAGTAATATTTTACTGTTTATCGAGAATTAACGAGACTGCATTTTTTCCAGAGAATATAACTTTTTTCGGTTTATCGCGATTTTCTATTTAGCAGGATACAAATTATAAAGAGTCGACTTTATATAAACATATATATGGTATTTGGTTACATACATATACTCTAAAAATCATGTACATTTGTTTAATACTTTGTTCAATATAAATTCAATTCAATATAAATATATTAATTATTTTATATACATATTATTATTATTAGTAAGATCACAAAACTTTTCAAACTCTCCTCGCTTATATACTATATGCTATGTATACAATAATTTATTTGACAGATATTGCTTCTCTCTTCCCTCTCTCTTATTTCATTCCTTCTCTCTCAGTTCATTCCTTCCTAGCTAATTCTATCCCCCCTCTCTCTCTTATAACCCAATTTTCTTTAATTTCCCAAGTGTTTGTCACTTCAACTACTTCCAAATATTTCTCATTATGTTTTCAAACCGAACACATGCGCAAGAAACGTCTTGTTCTGCTCAGACACATCCGATTCTTCTCTATATATTTTTATTTTATTTTTTTTTTTTGCTAGCTTAGACAATGCCATTAAATGATGTTGACGTCAGTCGAGGCGTGTTGTAGTCCCCTTAAATATGTTTGTTGATTTGTCATTTTGGCATTTGCAAAGGAACCCCGCCCAACCCTTTCCCCCGCTCCCCTACCCTTCGCTTACCTGCTCGATTTCGCTGAGCGTATGCTTCATGCGCTCCAATTTCTTGGCTGCTTCCTGTCCGCTGGCTGCGTAGCCAGCGCCGCAGCTGCCGGCGCCTATTTTCATGCCCAGCGCTGAGATGGGATCAGTCTTTAGTTCGTGACGCTCCTTGCGCAGCTTGCTCAGCTCGGCGAGTGCATTCTTCATGTATTTGTCATTCAAACGTTCCGCTTGGGATGGCCGATAGCCCAGACGCTGCTCCAGCGAATCTTCCAGCTGCACCAGTTTCTTCTTGAGCGCTGTCACACGACGATTGATGGCCTTGACGCGCTCTTCGGGCGTCTGGAAAGCCATCATAGCGGGCACCACCTGCTGCATGACGTCGCGTGTGCGCATATTCTCCAGCGAGCTAAACGCGCGCACTGCATCCATGGGCTCCAGACAATCCATATCCTCGCCCAGCAGCTGCACGCTGGATGCCTGCTTGGGCAGCTGCTGTGGATAGGGCATCACCTTGGCCAGCTTGGCAGCGGCATCGATGTTGCCGCCGGCATGGTGTCTCGAGTGGGCATAGCGACGGCTCAGCACGGGCGCTGGCTCATCGCCGCGCTCCCAGGGCAGCGACTCCTGGGCGGAGGTCAGATTGAGTGACTGCTGTTGGCGCTGTGGTGGCTTGGCCTTGATGGGCGCAGGATTCGGGGTGGTGTCATCGCTGCCCGCCGAGCTGCAGGAGCTGCTCGTGGTGGGCGTGGGCGAGATGCTGGTGCTGCGCTTGTTCTGAAGTTGCTGCTGCTGCTGCAACTGTTGCTGATGAAAGTCAATTAGATTGTTGTCATTGTGATCAGCGATTGTTGCTGCGGTGCTCTGCTGTTGCTGCTGCAGCTGCTGTTGCTTCTTGCTGCTGATGAAGCCGCGACGCTCATACTTCAGCGCCGACAGATCGTACTTGTAGGCGCTCTGCTCGTCCCGCCTGGAGGGCAAATACTTGCCCACGGCGCTGGGCTTCTTGCTGACGCCGGACTTGCGTACCGGCGGCTGACGCGACTTGCAGAAGCGTTCGCTGCTGCGGCGACGCTCGTGCTCGCATTCGCTGTCATCGCTGGCATCGCGCAGCAACTGTTGCTGCTGCTGCTTGCCATTGCCATTGCCGTTGCCGTTGCGCACCGGCGAGTGGGGCTGAGAGCGCGCCGGGCTTGTCTCGAAGCGTGCGCGATCCTTGAGCGCCTCCGCGTTGATATTCAGTGGCACATTGGCCAAGGCCGCATTATTCTCCTGCTGCTCGCTGTTGTCCAGGGGCAAGTCGACTTTGGCGTCGCGCTCGAATTCCTGGCAATAGCTGGCAAAGCTGGCCGTGCGCTTGAACTCCTCGGAGGAGACACGGCGTATGACGTCACATGTGTGATTGGATGAGCGTTGGTTGTTGAGAGTGTTGGGTGTTGTTGCCGCTGTTGGTGTGCCTATTGTTGTTGTTGTTGTTGTTGTTGTCGATGCAGAGTTTGCTGTGATTGCTGGATCCGGTTCGGTCAGCAGCTCCTCGCTGTTGCTGCGCTGTAGCTTGCGATCCTGGCTGCTCGCCGAGCAGCTGTCCAGGCGCTCCTTGCGCTTACGTGACTTTTGCCATTCCAATGGATTTATGATTTCGGGTAGATAGGTGGAATTGAAGCGTGGCGTGGCTGTTGCCTCCGTATTCGAGTGCTGCACCACCACATCGCAGCTGTCCGATGTGACAATGGCAACGTCTATGGCTGTGCCAGTGCCAGCGCCTGTTCCCGGCGACGACGACGACGATGATGATGATGATGATGAGGATGAGCTGGCGCTTGACGACGACGAATTTGATGAGGAGGATGAACCAGTGAGACGACTCAGGTCGTCTTCGTTAAGGCCAGTTGTGGGATGGCGCATGCCGCACTGCAAAATATGCAATAAGAATTCAAATCCATTAGCATTTAATAAAATACTCGATTGTAAATTGAAAGATTGCTCATACGACGCGTATGGCGCTGTCTCGAGACACTCGCAATCACGAGCCAGTAATTAAAACAACATTTGCCAGCACATGACTCGCAGCAAAAGCCTTGGCTGATTGACTGACTGACTGACTGACTGATTGACTCAAGGCATACCATACTCAAGCAACGGTAAAAATTAGTTGTATTTGATTTTTCACAGAGTCTTTTGTGGAGACTTTGTAATGCAACTCAGGCTCTACTGGCTAATTAGAGGGGATATAGTGAATAATTGCTTGATTAACTTAGACACTGACTAAATCAAAAATATTGATATTGTAAGAGACCCATTTATACAGTATTCTGCTATCAACTGCTCGCTCATATATCTAAAATTATTGCATATTGATTGACTGTCTGATTGAATTGACAGACTGACTCAACGCACAGCTGCATGACTAAGAAATAGAATATTTAATTTGAGATAAATAATATAGATTAATATAATGAAATGACCAATTACTCGACTGCAAGACTGATTGAATGCCCAACCAAGAAGGCCATAAAAAATACATGCACAATAAATTGACATCATTCATTCACAATTATATATATATATATATATATCTATATATGTATCTGCCAGAATTCACACATAAAATTGATTAAAATTCAATTAGGAATAGAAATTTATTTTGAGCGCACAAAACCGCTTAATATATGGCTCGTTAAATAATTAAGCACAAAAAGTGTTAAATGTCAGGCGGGGCGACATTTATGCGCCCGCCCATTAAATGGGCTAATATAGCTCCCGTGAGTAATACGTCTTACTAGCTGCTAGTTGGCTTCGATATAGTTGCAATGTCATGCTTGGCGCTGAGCCTCAGTCATAAAGGCGCAAACAGTTACGATTCAACAGACTTCTCGTAATAGCCAGAATAGCTGTTCATGTTATGTAAGACTTTGCTGTTTTGTTGACATATGAGTAAGAGTCTGGATCGGAATATTTGTATAAAAGAAATTACTGACACACTAATGGAGTTCAAGTTAAGTCATAGAATAATAAAGTGTATTATTTATAATATAATCCAAAGCTCAGTCAGCGGCTAGAACTGAATGAATATTGAAAATGATTAATTGGTATATTAAATACAGTTCCCATTCGCTGAGTTAGGCTTAGAAGTTCATATAGGACTATATAGACCAAGAAGATGAAATAAGAGAATATTAAGAATATATATAAAACATATACAAATATATATAAAAATATATAAAAATTTCTATGCAGTATACAAATGGCAGAAATGGCAATTTAAATATATAAATTTATATTATATGAATGCAAATGATGCCTCTGTCAAGCCTACAAAGATATATATTTCAAATATATTTTGCATATAAAAATAAATAAATAAAAATTCAAAATTATAAATTGCTAATCCCTATAAATTCTCTATATTCCAGTCCTGATGCATATACGTAAAAAAAATATATATGTCTATATGTATATGTCTATGCAGCCATAAAGTGGTATAATTTTTTGTTTATAAAAAAAAATATATATGTATATTAATAAAATATATATTAATAAAATATATATTAAAATTAAGATAATTACTTATCTTCTACTTATCTATGAATATAATACATTTTTATATTACATATTATTATTCTTAAAGGAAGGTGAAGCAATATATAAAACTCGTAAATACGTTCCAGAGTGCCCGACAGACAAATCTCTTAAATTTTCTCTACAAGGCGAACCGAACACGCCAGGCAGTTAATGAAAAATATAAATATTTTTTACAAAGAATCGAGCAGTTATTAGCACAACATTTCACACTGATAATCAACAGTTGATGTCGATTAAAAATAGAACCTAATTGAACTGAAGTCTAAAAAGAGCTTTCGTAGAAATGTAAATGTGTGCTCTATAGAATAGTCGAGCTGCTATGAAAATTAGTATTATCAATAATGCTGATCGGGATTGTTAGTATGTATTACTTTGTTTAGTTGCTCGAATTTTCTTGATATGTAAACCTGTGTGTGTTGACTAATTGCTGAATGCCATGCAGAAAAATATTTTAGATAATCTCTGGAGTTTAAAATTACTCAAGGTTATCACTAAAAATTCAAACCGCTTTTAGAAAGTAGATAAAGTAGCTGTTCTAAATAAATGAAAACTAGATATAAGTATTGGTATATATTTAAATTATCAGCTATTTATGCGATTAATATGACGAAATCTTTAATAAATGCTAATAGTCCTTGAAGTATTTGATAACTAATCATTAACTCAACATTGGCATATCCCTATAAATACATCATATATCCTTGAAAATGCTAGCACCAATATTTTATTTCTTTTTTTCATCGCCTAACGTTATATAAGCAACAAATTAGCCAACCACGCTTTTGGGGCAACTACAACTTCCCCATAATTTTTTACAAATTGCTTAAGCAAATAAAAATGTGACAATTTAATGATAGGCCATATAATAACATTATTAGTAATAATAATAAAAATAAAATAATAATTTGATTTATTTACCAGAAAGTATGTAATAATTTTTGGCGTCATTGTAACTTTTAACTAAATATATCAGTCTATTGCTATTTCTATATATATATATATATATATATATATATATATATATATATATATATATAT